TTTCCATCAGGTGACATAGATGGAGGTCAAATGCGCACTTATTTTATTAATAAAAAAGAATTAAGTTAATTTGCAGTTTCGTCAATAGTAAATGATGTTTGGGGCACCTAACATGTGAAGCAGGAAGCAAGCCGTTTCACGCGTATCTGTGCATCCGTATACAGAGAGATATACATTTCCTGGTCGCTTTTTTCTATACAAAACTATTGACCACCCATCATCCTAATTATTGAACTTGTCACGGAAACAAACAATCTACTTGAATGTGTATAGTTGCATGTTGAATTATTTGTAAATAATGTTGGCAGCATCGGTCTAGTGAATCTTCATTATGTTAAAAGTGAAACTTGTCATGGGAAAATTAAAAAAAAGAACAATATTTCATGAATTGTTCGCACGTTTCTTGTTGACAGTTTCCAAGTTTTTTATTAAAGAATACGTGATCACAAGGGGGAAAAGAGTTTTTGAACTTGCCGTAGTTATTCGTTTTAGTTGTTTACACTATTTTATGTTGAGAACATTTTAGTAGGTTCTTGGAAATACTTTAAAAAGCTACTATTAAGTTATTTTTTTACAGTTAACATAAGATTAAGGTTTATTCACTCATCAATAGTATCTAGGGATCAAGCGAATTTTTGCCAATTACTGAAAATCTGCTTTTTTAATCATTTTTTTTAACGCCATTATAATATAAAAAACAATGTGAAAAAATAATATGATCGTCAGTAATATAAACAATAAAAGAAAGTAATAAAAAGCGGTAGTAGTTTAATAGTAGAATGGTTGCTTTTTTTTAGTAGCAGTAGAGCACCTTGTGAAAGAGTTCGTCCAAGGAAGTATTGCCACCTTACCTAATTCTGCCGCCAAGCAGTAATGTAATGTAAATGATTACTGTGTTCCGGTTTTGAAGGGTAAGTAAGGGTGCGGGTGAAATTACAGGCACATGGGACTTGCCAACTTATGTCTCAGGGTGACGGGCGCAGTGGTAGTGCCCCTCAGATCTTTGCAATTTAAAGCTCTGAGTGGCACTGTAACTGTTAAGGACAGGCGTGTAGCTTACCATCAGGCGTACGACTTGGTCGTCCCGTCCCGTCCCGTCCCGTCACGCAGAAATAGATAAGGTGGCAGCACTTCCCTGAACGAACTCTTTCACAAGAAGCTCTACTGCTTACAAAACTGTCAACATAGCCCCGCACTAGAGAAACCCTGCGTCCCGGGTGCCGTGGACACACACGTATAGACAACCACAAATTACACCCAAACCCATGAGAGAAATAAATGTGGGCCATACAAATATTTCTCCCGGCCCGGGAATCGAACAGTTGTGATATGAAATGGGTTGATGATGACAGAAAATAATTCGAATTAAGTAATTAACACAGGCTATTGAAGTTAATAATAAACGGTAATTGCCAAAAAACCCTTCAAGTGTTACTGTAATTAACACGGGAAACTTTGTATAGAACCTTCTAGTTATAATTGCAGACCAATTTTATTGATCGTAAAATTTCTGCTGTTTGTACACCACAAATTGCATTAGTGTTTTCTTTATTTGTGTTGTAAAGTTCTTTGTTATGCTCCTAACTAAGTAGTAAAGGCCCTACTACTTTATTTCTGTAATATATAATAAAATCAGTGTGTTAACTTAATTGACCTAGGTCATAGATTCCCAACTTTTTTTTTCAAATGCGGTAGAACCCCTGGACCCAGGACTTCCCCATTGCTTCCGACGACCGCCTTACCCCCGCCCCCCCAGGACTCTTCAGCGCCCACTGGGGAGCGTTAGGGACTAGGTGAATTAAGTACACTTTTAGTAAATTTTAATCACCTGATTCACTTGGGTGCATTGGGTGTAAACAAGAGGAAACTGCATTTCCTACTCTATTAATATGGAACCTTTTTATAAGTGGAACTCTGGCCACTAGAAGGGATACCTAGAGTATAGCTGTAAAGCAAAGTTATGCTTGATTTAAAATGGTTCTGTATTAGGTTTATTTTTGGGCATGACTCATGAGCTGATTCACAAAAAAAGACCAAATTGATCCATCTAACTGGATGGATTCCGCATCGTCTCACACAAGACTTTACTTACCTGCTATTCGTATGATAATAATAATAACGTGTCAGACAACCACACCAATTGCCCCTGTACTATCAGTACCAGAGAAACAGAACTCACTCTGGGGCAATTAGCAGGACACCCAGACCTAAACCAATTTAGAATAGTTCGTTTCTCAAATTAGTCGAACGTCCACAAATAACAAATAATGGAATGTCCTTGTAGCCGTCGTAGACTATAAGTACTAAGCCTAAAAATCGTCAGTGAATAAAATACTTCATAATAGCAGATTGTTTTCAGTTATTGGTCATATGAAGCAATATAATGGGCACATGAAGACTGAGGGCATTGTTTTTCATTAGTGTTTATTTTGTTTGGCTGTGTTGAAATTGTGAGGCTATTTAGATTACTAATTTAGCACTTGCTTAATAGTGAAGTATTAAGTATAAGATTGGTGGCCATGGTTGAAATGTAACTATTTTGTCAGATCTAAATAGAGTCTATTTGTCATGACTAAGCTGTGACCATGGGTCACGCCTATAGAGTCTGAAACGTTAGTTTGTTTGAAAAAACTAATCAACACCAGCAATTAACAATATGCTAACTCGAATTTTGTCGATTTTGCGTTTTTAATGCTAAATTATTCAGTTTAAGAAAATAATATATTTTATAATCTATGATGAATAACTTGCAGTAAAAAAATCATTCATTCTATGTGTTACAACCACGAAAACCGAAAATTAAAAAGTTATCACAAGGTTCCCTTTTATAGGCTCTGGTTGGTGAAAAGTTACAACTTTCAAGTTAGCATAGTGTTAATTGCTGGTGTTGAAATGGTATATATGTGACTTAGATCCAGAAAAATAGTTTCACTTCTTATGTGTAGCAATCACGAAACCTAAGAACTTGATAAATAATAATGTTGTTCAGATTGTTCAAACTTAATTCAGTTAAGTGAGTCTTCACGCATTGAACCAATGACCTATGCACAGCAGTGCGACGATACGGGTCGATACAATGTAGTACAAAAACAAGCAACCTAGTTTCATGGCTGGCTAAGTCCATAGTAACAAACAGTCCGGATAATCACACAGAAATTTTAAGTGAAGAAATCTGAGGTACAAAATATCTAAATCCCGGAGTATCCAAAACACCAACACCGGAACTGACTTAAAAATAAAAGTTTAAACAATCAATTTCAACGATTTCATGTAATTGTATTAATTAACAGTTACACAGTCAATTAAGGAAAAATACTGTAGCATATGCCTAACATAAGAATTAGATAAGAATCTAGTTCCAAAGCAATTATGAATTACATTGAAAAGCAATTTAATGGTATTCTCTATGAAAATAGTTATGGGGATATTGTTTACCATGCATATAATTTTATCTTCACAATCCTGATTTAATAGAAGTGCTCTTCTAAACTACACATTATAGTAAATGTAATATTATATGCTAAAAATAAACTTGCTTCATTAGATTTATTTTATTTTGTATTGTATTGTATTGTAACTAGCTACCTAAACAACTTGCTCCTAGCATATCTCTATATTTGTTTCATAAGCCAATACTATCAACAAACTGACACCAACTGTGGAAGATAAGCTATATATGAATGTTTAGGTTCTCATTTAGGGTATCCTTTTTAACCGTACGGGCTCAGAAGTTAGCATTGTGGACACTACATGAAGAGGACCTGGGTTTGATTCCAGGTTGGTTTTAGTTTAGTTTGTGCCCAAGAATTAATATTGTTGCTCTGGGCATTCCCCAATAGATCTGGTAATCGGTGTGGTTGTATACTAGAATTATTACAAACTATACCTAATAAATTTCAAATTCACCAAATATATCTTGCTGCTTTAAAAAATAGGTATGTTCAGGTCCTCCTAAAAGTCCTCCTAAAGGACCTCCTTTGCATCATATTTTTATTTTATTTTATTTCACATTTTTAGAGAAACTAACAGCTAGGTAGGTATATAAATAGTTACAAAAATAAATATTGATGACCAGTTATTACAAGTTTCCACAAATAAGATATGTGCACACGGAATACATTCCTAACTACATACATGTAATTTCATTTAAACACTAAACAATTAGAGCATATTAGTGTTGTTTATTTGTGCATTTTTATTTACCTGTGTCTATGTAGTCATGAAAAAATTAAACAAATGACTGATTGATTACATATTATTAGTTGTTATTATTATTACATACTACATTAGGGCCCAAAAATGGTTATAAACAACATAGATATTTGTATTTAGATTATAATATATTGGGGAAAAAATAGATGATTATTTATAGCTATGTATAGTGGTTTTGTAATTTAATGATGCAGTCATATAACTTCCTCAATCATTATTTTGCTGTTTTGAATTTTACTTCATATTCCTAATTTAAAATAATATTGTAACTTTAGTATTAGTATATGGTGTTACTAAACAATGGAAGGTTATTGAGCATGTTTTAAGAGTATAACTAAAATAGTTTAGAACAGGTGAGGGTGTGTGGCCAGGGCTTTAGATAGCTTTGAGGATAAGTCTCAAACACATCTAAGCACACCTGCACATAAAGGTCAAGACATTTTGAATAACGCTAACTAGTATTTAGATATATTTATTAAAAAGATAAACTATGTTCGAAAAGTTATATAGGATAAGACAATAAATACAGGCGCGTAAAACTAGCATTAGGACTAACAATC